TAATCTATGAATGTCATAACCAATTGGTTCAATATCCCATATTCCAACACCTATAACCTAGGCTAGAAGAATCACCCTAACTTTAAATGGAACAATAATAACCAAGGTGTAGGAACCCAAATAGTGGGAAAATAATCAACCCAATCTTATAGGTAAGTCAAATAACCAAGATTGTGGCCATCCTAAACTGACCTACCCTCTTGGAGTCACTTATAATCTCCAATTTAGCGAAAAAACTATCATTGAAATAAATAATACTGAATATGAGGAATCAAATGCAAAGTCCTATTGTAGTTATTAATAATATTGGAATAAAAATCAGGCAAGTAGCTAACTCATTGAGTCAGAGACCCCACGGAACGTTATCTGAAAATACATAGGAGAATACAATGGGCCTAATTTTAAAGCATTGCATTGTCATAGGCCTTAGAAGTAGGAAGGTGTTTAAGAAGCGTATAATGGAAAAGCCTATAATAGATCAGCTGAGCCTGGTCTTGATAAACCTATATAAAAACTTACGTCATACTTAGAAAAAAAGCCTTCATCACCTCGAATAGAGCTGGATAAACCAAGACAACATTTTTCTTAGAATTTGATTAAACAAAAATTGTACCATCATCTATCCAAATTTTTAGAAAAATCTAAGAAGCTTATTATTAACATTTTATTTGTTGAAGCAATTGAAAAAATACCTAATTATAAGAAATTTATGAGGGAGCTTTTGAATAAGGGAGAAAAATTTTCAAGTTTTGAAAATGTGACACTAACTAAAATTAGTGTTCTAATTCAAAGAAAATTCTCACAAAAATTGAAAGATCTAGGTAGTTCTATCATTCATTGCACTATAGAAGACTAATTTAATAGAAATACAATATGTGACTAACCAGCTAGCATAAATTTAATGCATTTATTATTGTTTGAAAGAATAGAATTAAGAGAGTATCAATTTTCTGTTGCGACTCTTCAATTGATTGGTCATTCCTTAACTTTTCCAAGAGGAGTTAAGGAAAATGTCCTATTGAAAGTAGAAAATTTCATCTTCCATGTTGATTTCTATGAAGGAAGATGTGGAGATCCTAATTATTTTGGGTTGACCATTTCTTGTAACTGTTAGAGAAAACTTTGATTTACAAGAAGAGGAGTTAACTATTAGAGTGCATAATGAGGAAGTGACTTTTCATATTCATGATCTTATGTCACCCCCTACTTATATTCCCAACCACTGTTTGATAGTGGAAATAGAAATGTTGGAAAAATATTTTAAATGAGAATTTGGGGAAAAAATGATTTAATATTTCAGAAAGAGGAGAATATGGGATCACAACATAATTCATAGGGGAGTCTTCAAGAAATTTCAAGCATTGGACGATTAATAAGAATTATTAAATTGGATATTTGATCATGGAGAAAATCTTGAGATTAATCTGATCTTGTGAGGCTGAGGACATACAAATATGCACTACTTATGAGGCAACACAAGTGTTATCTTGTAGTGTGATTGCATGTTGTTTTATTTTGTTATGTATGTGTGTGTTGTTGTGTCAGGATGAGGACATTAGATCAAAAATAAACTAGTCCAATAGGATTCATTAAGGTTTTCAACAAAGTTAATTCCACTAAAATAAATTACGCCTTGGTTTAAGTCCATGATCTGGTCAATTTGAGTCAAATTTAAGAGTTTAAATTGTGTTAAATTGTGTCAACAAATTGACAGTTTGGTTTAGGCAACTAAGGATGTATTGTTCAAAGGACGCATCTAACATCTTAGAGCTTAACGAAGGGTATGGGATGAGTCAAATTGAATTACAAACTAAGTATGGCATTATGAGTGTTGAATATGCTTACAATGTGAGAATTTATTTATGATTGTTGATCTCTTCCAATGTACACTACCATAATCCAAGCTAAAAACATTGCATTATTACATAGTAACTTTGATTTTATTATATTTATTGAGTTGGCCGCTTGAATCATCAAATGTGAAGCAACCCATGATTCATGCTTGAATTATAATTAGGCTCTATAAGATTAAATATATAAATGCATAGATTTATATATGCATTAATTCAAATATAAATACATAACGGAAAAAAACATTTGTTTATATGCATTAATATATGCATGAATATATATGTTTTGACCAAATATCAAGCAAGCCCAATTCAATAAGCGCTTAGCCCAAGTCAAATTCCATTCTAATGGTGTCTTGATTGTGGGCTTATCTAGTTCAATTTAAGCTTAATATAGTATAAAAATTAAACTTATTCTAATGGCACCTCATTTTTTTTCAAATAATTAGATGGATTTTATATAGGGAAATTTACATTGACATGCAATTCTTATGTATTTACATATCTAACCAAGCTTTTATATTTACATTTATTATACTTTGGTGCCATAAACCCATGCATGAAAATGTGCATTCATTCTTGTAAAGGTAAGTAAAAATGGTATTTTTTTTAAATGATATTAAAGATTTGAGTACTAAGCATGAAAAACATGAAAAGATCGCCTACCATATATGTAAATACATAAAAATTGTGAGATATATGTGTAAATGCCCATTTTTCATACCATCATCACAAAATTATCACTTTTTTTAGAAAAAAAATATTACATCAAGACTCCGCATGCAGAGTTACGTGTGGAGTCTAATGAAATCACGTGATAAGAAAAAAAAAATCGGTCTGGTAACACAGAGGAATATTACTTCCATGTTATTCAGATGTTATTGTGTGTTATTCAAGTGTTATTGATGTGTTATTATACTATTATAACATCAGGAATATTCCCAGAACACAGTAACACATGAATAACATACAATAACACTTGAATAACACAGGAAGAATATTCCCTTGTGTTACCTGTGTTACCGGGAATATTCCCCTGTGGCCTGTGGCATGATTTTATTGGACTCCGCACGTAACTCTACGTGCTGAGTCCTGGTGTAATATTTTTTTCTTTTTTTTTTAAACACTCTTCAAAGAATAAAAATTAAAAAGAAATGATTATTATAATATGAACCTACCAAATTAATCTAGCAATTAATTCAAATTATTACAAAACATTCATTATGCAATTAATTCATTTACATAACATAAAAAAAACAAAATCTTACTTTCCTAATGAGCAATTACACACCATAAACAAATCATTATAGTCAATATAAAGTAATTATAATTCCTAATATCAATCTAACAAAAATCACCACTATAAATACACCTATAACTTTGAAGCAAAAAGCTTCAAATACCTTAAGAATGTCAAAAGCCCAAATTGCAATCCTTGTCATCTTCCTCCTAGCCATGGCTGCACCAGGTAACAATCTCTGTTCTCACAAACATACCACATAATTCTTACATATTTACATATCCAACCCCTAAACTTTCACTTTCACAAACTTTTTCATGGATATACAAGAGGTTTATGGTATATATGTAAATTTCAGTAATTAATATTAATTATCTGTAATTATGCAGGTGATGCTGTGGGCTGCTGCACCGATTATCATGGCTGGGGTGTTCCGAGAGTTCATCACTGCTTGGGATCAAATGATGAAGAGAATTGCAATGAATGGTGCATGCAGAGTTGCAGGGGGGGAGAATGCAAAATTAGACATAAATTGCATTTTTGTCATTGTTATTGTTAATTTGCCAATTGGAGGATTAAGGAGTAATGATGTTTAAATTAGTGTTTAATTGCTTTCATTAAGTCTAAGTAGTGGTGATTAGTATGTTGTGGAGGATAAAGTGTGTTTGTGTTGTTGCAATTGTGTTCCTACTCTTATTTTTGGAGAATTATGGCAATGGGAGCAATATTTGATTATGATAAATTTTATAGTAATTAATTTTATTATTAGATAAGTGTAATTTAATTAAAATGTATATTGCACTAATCTTGAAATACTTTTTTTATGTAATATGAAGAAATAATTATAATGTTATTCCAAAAATAATAATAATTATATAATTTTATTTTTGGTGTTTGACGGACGAGATATTCTGCATGATGTAACTGTTATTTTGGTGACAGTGTTTTATTAAGAATCTTTAATATCACATTTGTTGTATGCTGCTATATTCGCGGCGGAGGAGCGATATATTAAGTCTTAGTGTTATGCGAATATCTGAGACATGCAGGTAAAAAGAAAATGATAAAAAAGATAGCATGAGTTTTTACGTGAAAAACTCATAAGAGTAAAAATCACGAGGTCTAAGACCAATTAGAATGATTCAACTTTGTTGATATATGTTACAGGATTTAATTGGTTTTTTAATAGCTAGAAGCGATATTTTAAATTTGAGAGGCATCGACGTGAAATCTTCTAAAGGAGCGGCAAAATACATTTGGGAAGTGGTGATGACCTGGCTGTTGGGAAGGATTGAAGACTGACGACAGAGGTCGTATGCCATAAAATTTGATATCAACGTCGTTAGTGGTGGTCCGACGTCGATGGTGTAACATCTAAAAAGATCATCCTTCTTAGGAGTGCTCCAGCACGAGCACACACTTAACTTCAGAGTTTTTGGCACGCATAACTTCATAATTTCGACAGAAACAATGCACATGGTTAGGTGCTAGATATGTAAGTGGTTTGCATGTGTATCTTCCAATTTTTCAATATCTTAAATTATAGGAAAAGTTACATGGAGACCGCCTGAAACTTGATATTTACAAATCAACCTCTCTCGTTCATCCATTTTTCAAATTCTAACTTAAATATCAAAATTTACAGTAAACCCTCAACCCATATTTGTCATTTTTATCAAATCTTTGATAGTTTGATCATGGCACGAGTAAATACATTAGTTCACTCGTTTGAACAAATTGTATGGGTGGTTAATTTGCAAATATCAATGTGATGTTTTGGATGTAATTATAATTTATGAATATAAAAATGCTAAAAAGCCAAAAAGCAGAAACCAGGCCTAGATGCTCCCAAACTAAAAGATAAAACTGATGAAAAGCCTTCTATTTTTTACTTATTCTTGCAAGAATTCTCTCGGCTATCAGTCGTCGCCATCCTTGCAAGGTTGGATACAGAAGGGAAATGAAAAGTATGGTTTTGCGTAAGAATTTAAGAAACAGTTTGCATATAAAGAATCGCCCGCTTTGGTTTTTGTTTCATAAAAAAAAAAAAAAAAATGCAAAATCTCTTCTTTTTGAGTTAAAGATCTGTACTTTTTGCTGTTTTAATGGTGGGAATTACTGAATTACGCTTTGTTTGAATTCCAAAGCTCCATGATCTTCTTCCTCAGTTTCCAAACTAGCTTCTTTTCTACTGCAATCTTCTTTTGATGGTGTAACCAACCTTCTGTGATTCCAAATTTCTCCTTTTTTTTCCTCCCCCATCTATTAATCCGCCGGCGCTCTTCTGTTCCCTCTCTATTGCCATCAATGAATCATCTTCAACACGAAGTCCAAAGGCATCCAGCTCTACTGAATCCCATTTCTCGCTGCACCTTCATGATCCTTAACAGGAAGAACCGGCGCAGAAATACAATCTCTGATAAATCCGGGAAGAAGCAGATGCCCCCAAAAGTGGCTTCAGAGGAGCACATATTCAGCTTCCTTGAATCAGCTAACTCCATCCCTGAGTCCGAAGAATGTTTCCTTGAGTTCATCAGTATGTACCCAGCTTACCAATCCTCCAATCAGATCGACCAGCTTCGATCAAACGAGTATTTCCAGCTCAATAAACCAGAAGCTAAGGTATGCCTTGACTACTGTGGCTTTGGCCTCTTCTCCTACCTCCAAAACTCCCAACTTTCAGAATCTTCTGCTTTCAGCCTCTCTGTAGCCAATTCGAATTTGAAGAATCATGCCCTTTATGAAAGTGCTGCAGAGGGAACTGCGGAGAATGACATTAAAACAAGAATCATGGAGTATCTGAACACTCCTGAGAATGAGTATAGCCTTGTGTTTACTGCTAGCAGAGGTTCAGCATTCCAATTGCTTGCAGAATCATACCCTTTCGAATCTAACAAAAAGTTGCTGACTTTGTTCGATCATGAGAGCCAATCAGTGAATTTGATGGCTCAGACAGCGAGAGATAGGGGTGCAAGGGTTTACAGTGCAAAGTTCATGTGGCCGAGCCTGAAGATCCATGGTTCTGGGATGATTAAGCTGTTATCAAGCAAGAAGAGAAGGAAGAGAGATTCGGCCACCGGACTTTTCATCTTCCCGGTTCAGTCTAGAGTTAGTGGAGTGAAATATGCTTATAAATGGATGGGTTTGGCAAAGCATTATGGTTGGCATGTTTTACTTGATGCAGGATCATTGGGTCCTAAAGACATGGAATCATTTGGGTTGTCTCTTTTTAGGCCTGATTTCATCATCACTTCATTTTATCGTGTGTTTGGGGCAGATCCAACTGGTTTTGGTTGTCTGGTCATTAAAAATTCTGTTTTGAGTTGTTTGAAGAGTGGGAGTAAAGAGTCTGGTTTTGGTGTTGTGAGGATCGTGCCTTCTTTTCCACAATATTTGAGAAAATTTGCAGACTCTCATAATGGAGCTGAAGAGGATCCAATGACTGCAAATGAGGAAAGAATGGTGCTTGACACTGCCCGAGGCTCAAAAATGCAGTTTTTCTCTGGTCCATACGTTGCGCTTCCGGTTACAGACTCAAAAGAGATCATTCAAGGAACTGATTCATTTGGTGAGATAATGAAGAGCCCAATCTTCAACGAAGATGAATCATCTGACAGTTCTCTCTGGATTTATTTGGGTCCCAGTCCCTCCGGCTCAGATGTTTCAGCTCAGCTTAAAAAAGGAAAGCTTGATTCTCCATTAGCAATTTCATGGCTTTTTGAAGAAAAGAACAACAGTCTTGATAAATCCATCATATCCGTCTCCAAAGACAAAAACCAGATTCAGAAAGACTCGAAAGACAAGTCTTTTATCTCTGCGATTCGAAAGGAGACAGATAAAGAAGCCATGGTCAACTCTCCTTCATCTGAAAATGATTTAAGATCTGCAATCTGCAGAGAAAATATGGAAGAAACCTACAAAAGCGCCATTAGAAAAGAAACAGAACTTGAATTCATGATTCTCGACAGGAGAGAAGGAAACAATAACGACGCCGACCAAACCACGACTTCTCCATTCCCTCTCAGTTGGGACGACGACAGACCTTCCAGAAGCCTGATTCACTATTTGGATTCCGCCGAATCCTCTCCACATAACTCATCAGAACCAGTCTCAAAAAGAAGAGAACCAGAAATAAAATGCAGACACATGGATCATATTAACATGATTGGCATAAACAAATCCGCCATACGGATTCGTTGTCTGGTTAACTGGCTGATGCGTTCGTTGCTCCGTCTTCGTTTGCCGAGATCTCATGGCGGACACGGAATCCGTCTGGTTTACATTTATGGACCGAGGATCAAAGGCGAGAGAGGGCCCACGGTGGCTTTTAATGTAAGGGATAAAGGTGGGATTTTTATACATCCTGAAACTGTGCAGAAGCTTGCTGACAGAAATGGAATCCATTTGGGGGTTGGATTTCTGAACAACATTAGGGTTTTGGGCAAAGATGAGGCTGTTGATGGTTCGTTCTGTAACTTCATATCGAATAGATGCCATGAAAGCCATGAAAGCCATGAAAGTAAGGTTGAAGGTATTAGATTAGAGGTGGTGATTGCGTCGCTTGGATTCCTGACGAATTTTGCGGACGTGTACAAGTTGTGGGCCTTCGTCGCACGGTTCCTTGATCCATCGTTTGTGGAGGTGTCGGAGGGGTGATTAAAATTTGAAGATAGTCGTTTCTTTGTCTTTTCAGACTGATTCCTGGCATTATTTGTTTGAAGAAATATTTCGTCCGGACATCATGTACCAATCAAGCACCTAAATCGCATGTCAATAAGAGGTTTGTATTTTCTGTTCGGACACCTGACGTACATCTACGTGCGGCATAGATTATTCCTGAGTTATTTTCTGTTCGGACACCTGACGTACCTCTACGTGTATTTTCTGTTTGGACACCTGATGTACCAACCAAACACCTAAACTCAGGAATAACCTGCGTCGCACGTAGAGGTACGTCAGGTGTCCGAACAGAAAAAATTTTTGCAATAAGAAATATGACAATGTGACGTCCGAGGGTAAGTCATCAAGCTATGCTACAATAGAAAGAATTAGCTTTGTGATGCTAAGGGATTGAATTAGGGCTCACTCGGATCTATTATTTTTATTTTTATTATATCTTTATTTTTAAAAATATGTTTATTAAGAGTATTTTTATATTTTTATTATTTTTCTATTTTTAAAAATAAATCAGCCTATTTTAAACAATGCTTAAAATAATTATTAAAAATAATTATCACCATCTAAACATATTTTATTGAGAAAAGAATCAAATTGCTCTTCCAACTATTTAAAGGTGCTACTAAAATAGCTCCATATAAATACAATAAAATATAACAAAATAACTAAAAATTTCTCCAATGTTTTGTAATTTTTCATGGCAAATTAGTAAAATAAAAAAGAAGAAGATTTATACAGATGCCTAGGGCTGTCAAAAAAGCTCGTTGTTGACGAACAGCTCGTGTTCGGCTCGTTATGTAGCTCGTGTTCAGCTCGTTCGTTAAGTAAACGAGTCGAACCCAAACAAGTTCTTAAAGCTCGAATTGTAAACGAGTCAAACACAAACATCTCTTTGTTCGCTCGTGTTCGGCTAGTTTTAGCTCAAACTAAAAAAAATTATATAATTATTTATATAATAATATATTACATATATTATTTGTATAATAATATATTATAGATATTTATTAAATCATAACATCTGGTGTGGTAATATGGTGAATACCTTCTTTTATATATATTTGGTTCATGTTTGAATCCCACAATTTACATTTATTTTTATCAATTTAATTTTTCTGAGTCAATTTCGAGCCGAACACGTACACGAATATTTAAATCGTGTCGAACACGAACACACTGTTCAAGAGCCAATTTCGAACACGAGCTATTTCGAACGAGCTGAGCACGAGCCAAGCTTGAGTTCGCTCAAGCTAGGCTCGTTTACAACCCTACAGATGCCACACAATTTATATGTATTTACAGATCTAACACCTTAAACTTCAATGTTTACATCAATGTCATCTTAGCCATGCATAAAAAAGTTGTATTTCGCTTTTAAATAGTTTAAAAGTTTAGAAGGTAATGTTTTTTATGTGATATGAAACATTTGGGTGGTAGAAAAGTAATAAGGTGAAGTGTAAATGTTAGATACGTAAATACATAAAAATTGGATGGTATGTATCGTGCGAGATACTTGTGCACGCATTAATGCATACGTGTATATATGATGATTCCTTCTCATGAAATTGATTAAAGATGGTGAAAATATTATATCTGGTAAATCCGATGTACAGTCGACGGAGTGGATAGCACCACGCTGGTGTTGCCGGTTGCACAGCATGATGTGATTCAAGTCATCGTCCAGACGATTGATGTAATATCTTCTTCTAAGAAAGACAGATCAATTATCGAAAAGCAATTATAGAAGAACCTTTCTGGTTTATAGAAAAAATACTTCAACATAGCAATGTACATTTTAAATTAAAATTTGTTTAATGCTGAGTTATGATTAATGATTTGTGATTTATATAAAAAATTAGTAACTATGTGATAAATCATTGTATAAACCTTTGAATTATTTAAGTTTTAAGTAGATAAAACCAACGATGATCAATGGTTGTGCTTTGGCATATGTTTTGAGCCTCTGATGCCCTGTGACCAAAGCATGTCTGCGTTGGTTTAGACGAGATCTGATGGTAGCAGGGACCAGCCGATCACCTCATTTGGCTGACCTCCCAGTTCATCGGCAAACCGCATTTCGTTTGTCAACCGCAGTCCGTCTGTAGACCTTCAGTCCATCAGCTGACCGCAGTCCGTCTTTCAAACTCAATGCATATACCGATTGATACTTTTTGTACTACACTCAAACTATAATGCAAATCTAATATTAAATTAGTACAATAATTGCATTTAGGGAGTTTTCCATAATCATTCCTCATTTCCATAATTATTCAATTAGGCCCCTTTAAATAGGAAAACTTTTTATGTACAGGAGGAGGGAGGTCGTTTTGGCTCTCTTCTTCTCTCGTAACACATATTTCTTATAAATAAAATGGGTATGAGATCTCGGAGAACACCTCCACTTTGCCCCTTTGGGGGCAATCCCCAAGTCAACTCTCTCTCTCTCTCTCTCTCTCTCTCTCTTTCCTACCGCCCATTCCTTGGGTATGAACCACAAGAGAATTTCAGATCCAATACAATGTTTTTAATTTGAGGTAGTTAGGGTTTTGTGAAACAGATATTCAAATGGTGATTGGCGATTTAGAATGGCGGGTAATTGAGTCAAGCTGACTCGTGCGCTGGCTTGGGCTTGGCGTGATAAGTGGATTGTAAGCTGAGTTTAATAAGCTAACAAGCAAAGTTCAAACTAACCCTAACTCGACTCAACTCGTTAGCTTGTGAGTTGGCTTGTTTAAGGAAAAATTAAGATAAAATATTCTCATATATATTATATATATATATATATATATTAAAGTTCAAAATTTTATTTTTAAATTATTAAAAATAATTTAAAATAATATTTTATAGTTTATATATAGTGATTTTTGTTATTTATTTTCTAATTATTCATTCTATTTGTCATTTTTTTTATAAAGTTAGCTTGGATTAATATTGTTTTCCTTCTTTTATAAAAAACTTGTTGGCTCGTAAATCAACTTGTACTTATAGAATGAAGCTCGAGCTTGAGCTCGAACTTTATTAATCAAGCTCGAGCCGAAGGTTTTGAGGAGGGGTTTAGGGGTGAAACTAGGTGTTGAATGCAAATTTTTGTAGAGATATTTTAGACTTTGATACTCTTTGCCATAATCTATAAATATAATAATATTTGATGTATAAAACATTTCAACCACGACCTTAAACAATGGGAAAATTGAGTGAACATTGAATTTATGAGCTGCTGGGAGGAGTTTAGTATATTTGGTAGATGATCAACGAACATAATATGATATGTTAGATCAATTATTAAATAATTTGGGGATGGCCCAAACATTGGGTTGCATTAGATTGAGTGGTTGAAGGTTTGCTAGGTTAGAGGTTTCGAAACATAATTTGTGACTTTTATTCCATCAATGAGGGTTGTGGAGCTTGAGTGAGTTCAGGCTTGGCTCGTGTTCGGCTCGTTCGAAATGCTCGAGTTCGAACTTGGCTCTTGTTCGAAATTGACTCGTGAATAGTGTGTTTGTGTTCGGCTCGGTTTAAATATACCTGTTCGTGTTCGACTCCAATTCGGCTTGAAATTAGTTCGTTGAAATTAATTGAAATAAATAGATGCAGAGTGTTGGATTCGTACCTGGATCAAATCTATGCAAAAACAAGCACATAGCCACACGTGCTGTTATGATTTAAACTTAGATATAAATTTATGTAATATATTTTTATATAAATAATTATATGATTTTTTTTTTTTGTTTTGAGTAAAAACGAGCCGAACACAAGCGAACAAAGAGCTGTTCGTATTCGGCTCATTTATAATTTAAGATTAAAAACACTTGTTCGTGTTCGGCTCGTTTACTTAATGAACGAGTCGAACTCGAGCTACTTAACGAGCTGTTTGCGAACAAAGTGCTTTTTTGACAGCCCTACAATCAATACGAGCCAAACAACGATAATATTGAAGGATTTGAGTGAGTGGGTAGGTTTTTAGAGAAAATAACAAGTTATAACATTTGTAGAATTTAAGGGTGGATTTAAGATTGGCACGGGCTTGTTTGGACACTAAAAAGGCCGGTGACCACACGTTGAGGTTAAACTCCAATGATGTATGATTAGTTGTGCAAATTTGATGAACATATATGACTTTTGCTACATATTAGTGGCACATAAAAAATTTCAAGTGAAAAAAAAATTCAAATAGAAGGGATTTGGAGGGAAAGGATAATGATATTTTGCCATTGACTGATTTTAATGCATCCACCATCTTAGAATACTAGTAGTATCTTCATAGGGTTTAAGGTGAGAATGTGTAGTTGAAGTAGATATCATATGGTGGTAAGCATTGCTATTAGATGGCCAAGTTTATTTTGAGCCATAACTAGTAGACATAGTTGGCTTTGGGAGGAATAAGGAGTCTTGGATGGTGTGGCCCTACTTTTCATGTAACTAATGTACTAAAGTATAATTTTTGTTTCAATATGGATCAATTAATGATAGTTTATTTTGTTATGTTGAAATGATTTGATTTGGATGATTTCAGAAGCAACCATTTTTTTCGTTGAGCAAATCCATGCTCTTGTGTTGTGAGCCATTATTGGGGTAGAAAACAATTATAATGTTTATGTATGATAAAGTCTTTGATTTCAAATAAATTGGCATGAAAAACTTTAAATGATGTTTTTTTTTGTTTTGTTCTTTAATGACTTTAATTATTTCTTGGTATTTAAGTCTAACATCATTGTCGCAACAAAGTATGTCGTCATCTTCTTGTAGTGGGATTCGAAAAAAGGGCAATTGTTTGGCAAGGATTTTTAGTGTTTGGAGCAACTCATTAATAGAGACTTATCAACAAGAAAGAAAATGTGGATCATAAGCGAATAGTGCTCACATTTGGGTGAATTTATCCTATGCATCACGTGATGACAGGGAAGATGCTTCATAAGCCATGAATAGTTCAAATAAGAAGGCGAACATCACATCAATTAAGAGTTTTTCTCATTGAACTTAGATGGAGTGAATTGGGTTGGAAGTCATGAGATCTCCTCATATGATATTAGGGGAAGTTGGTGGGATATGGCGACTAGTGTAGCCAATTAGGTTTTATCTTTAAAGAAAAGATTTAACTCGAGTTTATCATGATGTGTAAATTGTTTGAAGTGAGTTTGAGTTGGTGTTAGCTGATAGAATCGATGAAGTTTAATTAAGGACAGATTTTCCATAGTGCTACAAGACTGAAAAATTGTTTCAACAATGGTATTGTAACCAAAGATCGGTTTGTTGTTTAGTTAGAAAAATACATATAAATGCATATCATAAACCTGCCTTTATTTCATTTTTATTTCATATTTTGGCATTTTATTATGTGTTTTTATGCATGGAAGTCCTTTAAATAGAATTCAAGATGATTTGATAACTTTTATTAGAGCACCTCAGTGTCATTTTTAGCACCTCGTGCCATATTTGAACCATATATCATGTAAGTTCTCGAGACTTTGGAGCCTAGCTGCTATCTACCTAGAGTCTAGGTGCTCAAACAATGCATCATAACACCATATGTGCAGTGCCACAACCCCACCTAAAGATAGGAGGAGTCCAAAATAAAGAGCTAAAAGCCTAGATGCCAAATCAAGCTCCTCAACACCAGAGCTACAACGCTGTCAAAGTTTGCCTAAAGATCAGGAACTCGAGAGTGTGGCATCTCAGATCCAATCCTAGAGTGTCGTGGCACCTAACCCAATGCTTAACCGCCATAATTAAAGCACCACAAAATGATGGCTCTGGAAAAGCAATTGCTCCTTTATAATTTCAAATTCTTTAGAGGGAGTGTCGATTGTGGAAGCGAGTTCTACTTAATGGCAATCACTTGAGTATGTTGGGGAGAGAACTCATTATTAGATGGAGAACTTGGCGAGTCTAGAGAGTGCCTATTGTGAGTGAGTGAGTGAGTGAGTGAGTGAGTCTATTATAAAGGGCGAGAATGTTATTTGCATAGTTTGGTATAGCATGGAAAGGAACTCATTGGAAAGACTTGAAGATTTCTGCAATCATTAGATTCTATTATTCCTTTGTCTGCAATCATTGTAAACGATTTTATCATTTGTGAAATAGATTTGATTGTGTTTATTTATTGTTATATCATGCTAGGCTAAACCTCCTGCTCCTATGGATTTCCAATTTATAAATTAGGTTAATAATTTTACACTTTAACAAGCCTTTGTGAATCACCTACTTCATTTAACAATTAATAATGGTCTTACTATTCTTTAAAACTTAGTGTGAATTTTAGATATCGAAAAAGTTTGTGTAAACAAATGGAAATTCACAACTTCACTTTAGGAATATATACATATTGACTTTAAGACTTTGCAGTCACTAGGGGAAATGTGCTTATTCAATTTTTAAATCCATCTTGAGCATATACATATGGAGTTATGACTTTGAAAATTAGGATTTTTGTTGCTATCAAGAGAGGTCTTAAACCATGTTCCTTCTGATTGATTACTACTTACCTTGTTTAAGCTTATTTCAAGTATTTATTTTATCAACTAAAAATAAAAAAAGATATCCTATTACATTTGAAACTCCATAACAAATTAGAAAACAAAAAAAAAACCTTTTTAAGAGAATAGACTTTTTAGATATACTTAGGATACATGAGCTACTGCCTGTCTTTACTTCGCAAACACCTTAAATTCTGGTGGGAACAATTTCAGACTCAAATCCATTATATCACTTATACTAAACATGCACTTGTGTGAGGCTATATAAAGTCGGGTAGTCCTTAGATATAAAACGCTCTATAGTGTAAGTGAATGAATTTATGGAAGGTAAAAGTCACCATATATTTTGGCATTCACTTTAGAGCCCTTATACATACCCATAAGTCCACTTATGATCAAGTGATAATGAGGGAAAATTAAAAAGTATTGCAATATTTAATCTATTATATTCCTTTAATTTAGATGAGAATTAGGTAACAATGTAAATGTGAATGTTTTATTATGTAGTCTACTGGTTTAAGCTTCATAACAATTCAATCAAATCAAATAAAAAATAACTCGCTATATTCCAATCAAATTTTTTTAGAGCATGAGCCTCATACTTTGAAATGATTGTAGTATAATAATTATTAGTCCCTCATATTTTATATTCACCTTAAAATAATTGTAATTATTTTAGAACTTGGAATAAATAAAATTTAGATTAGTATATCATAACCAAACTTTCTTTTTCTTTAAAAAAAATAGCACTCTCAAAACAATTATTTAAAAAAAAGGGGCATTTATATTCATATCACACAATTCTTATGTATTGACATATCTAACATTTAAACATTCATATTTACATACATACCGTTCAATTCTTTAATAACACGTAAAAAATATAACTATCATTGTCTTTTTAAAGGTGACAAACATTTTTTTAATGCATTGCTTTATGATACCAAGGTATTATAAGTGTAAATATCAAATTTTGGTTGTTAGATATATAAATACATGAGATTTATATGTCATGTAAGTAAGCTTATCTTTAAAAAATTGTCTTACAAAATATTTAAATATATGAATAAATAAAACTTATTTAAAATAAAAATACATGACATTAACCAAAATTTCATAGATTAGTTGATGATGATTTGCCCCAAATAATTTATAGTTGATGATGATTTGCCCCAAATAATTTATGTATATTTACCTTTTGTTCATTTATTTATTCATGATAAAAAAAAAATTACTCATGGCATGACTTTGGTTTTAAATGTAATAAATGAAATGTGAATGGGCCTTTATGATTTTCAACCAAGGGCAATTAGGTAACATCCATATAAAGATGAAGCAAAGCACCTCGATTGTTGACCTAAATGCCCCCTTTCTCTCTATTGCCATCGCCGCTGCTTCCTTCCCCTCTTCTTCTGCGAATCGAGGCCCTCCCCTTTCCATTCTTTTGCCCCTGTAAGTGAACTCTCCCCTCATTCCCATCAAACACCAAAATTACGATCTTTCTGCCCTTCTCCTGATTCAAATTCCCCACCTTTATAAACCCTCCACCCGCCAAAACCTCCGCTCGGTTTCATCTCCTTCTCCTTCTTCAACCAGATCGAATTCTTCTTCTTTTTCTGTTTCCAACGGTCAATTTCTCCCCTCGCTTGCATTCCCCTTCGTAAAGTTGCAATCTTGATGCGTTTTGGATCTCCGCGTCGCCTTGCCCAAAGGTCTGCTCTTCGATTGCACAGCTTTTCGATTGCTGGGATTCTTGTTGCCCGATGATTTGCTTTCTGTGTTCTTATATGATTTCAGCTGTTTCATTCGGTTTCTGTTTTAAATTTTGTTGTTTCTGCAGAGTTTTAAGGTAGAAATTCGTTTATTTGAATTGATGATTAATGGAGAAACATGAACTTGCGCTGGGACAGAACCCTGAATTAGCTCTCGGCCAGAGCCATGGTTTAGCGATCAATCACAGGCATAGACTTGGCCTCACCCACGCACACGATGATGATCTCGGCCTAACTCAGAGCCATGATCACAGCCTTGTTTTAGGGCATCACCATGATAGCAGACTTGTTTTAGGGCACCACCATCACGATTCCCATGAAGAAGACGATGTTCGAGACCATGATTACAGCAGCGAGCTTGCACTTGGTTCAAACCACGTAGCTCATCTTCTCACCACTCATAACCATGAGTTAGTCCTCTCCGACAACCACGAATTAACTCTTGCCGAAACCCATGATCTCTCCGTCGAGCCCAACCTGGAGCAGCTTTCAGTCGATCATGGCCATGAGCTCGCCCTCCAACCCGCTCTCGACATCACCCAATCTCAATTGGTGGTCTCCCCAGTCTTACAGACTCGCATCCTCGTCAACGCCAACCATGAACTTCATGTCGGACAAGAATTCCCTGATGTCAACAGTTGCAGAAGAGCTCTAAGATGCGCAGCCATCGCTTGCCATTTCGAGATCCAGACTGTTAAATCCGACAAAACTCGATTCACCGCAAAGTGCGCCGCAGAGGGATGTCCATGGAGGATTCATGCCGCAAGGCTCCCTGGTGTGCCCACCTTCACCATCAGAACCATCAATGAGAATCACAATTGCGTTGGCATCAACCATCTCGGCCATCAGCAAGCTTCTGTCCAGTGGGTTGCGAGTTCGGTCGAGGAGCGCCTCCGCGAGAATCCGCAGTACAAGCCTAAAGAGATACTGGAAGAGATCCATCGTGTTCATGGAATCACTTTGTCTTACAAACAAGCATGGAGGGGGAAGGAGAGAATCATGTCTGCTGTTCGTGGATCATTCGAGGAAGGCTACCGTCTTCTTCCCGAGTACTGTGAACAGATCAAACGCACAAATCCAGGAAGCATTGCATTGGTCTATGGAAACCAAGAAGATAACTGCTTCAAGCGCCTGTTCATCTCCTACTACGCTTCAATCCATGGTTTTGTGCATGCCTGCCGGCCATTAATCGGCCTCGATAGAACCCTTCTTAAAAGCAAGTATCTTGGGACATTGCTTTTAGCCACTGGATTTGATGGAGATGGTGCTCTCTTCCCTCTTGCTTTCGGTATTGTTGACGAGGAAAGTGATGATAACTGGATCTGGTTCTTGTCTGAGCTTCATTCTCTACTAGAGAACAACACAGAGAACATGCCAAGGCTCACCATTTTGTCAGACAGGCAAAAGGGTATTGTTGAAGGAGTGGATTTCAATTTCCCAACAGCCTTCCATGGCTTCTGTATGCATCATCTTTCGGAGAGCTTCCGAAAAGAGTTCCCTCATCATCCAAACCTTGTCACTCTCTTGTGGGAAGCTGCTCATGTCCTCACTGTGATCGATTTCGAAGCCAAGATACTCGAGATCGAAGAAATCTCTCAGGAAGCCGCTTACTGGATCAGAAGAATCCCTCCGAGGTTGTGGGCGACCGCCTATTTCGATGGAACACGCTATGGGCATCTCACTGCAAACATAGCAGAATCACTCAACAGTTGGCTGTTAGAAGCCTCTGGCCTCCCCATTGTTCAGATGATGGAGTGCATAAGGAGGCAGTTGATGACCTGGTTCAATGAGAGGCGCGAGTTGAGCATGCAGTGGTCCACCATCTTAGTCCCCTCGGCAGAGCGGCGTGTTTCCGACGCTGTCGAACGGGCGCAGGGATACCAAGTTGGACGGGCAAACGAGGCTGAGTTTGAAGTTGTCTCTCCCCATGAGGGAAGCAACATTGTAGACATTCGAAATCGATGTTGTCTCTGTCGTGGATGGCAACTTTATGGCTTGCCTTGCGCTCATGGCGTGGCAGCACTCGTCTTCTGCCGGCAGAATGTCCATAGGTATGCTGAGAGCTGTTTCACCGTCGCCACGTATCGAAAGACATACTCGCAGACCATTCATCCAATTCCTGATAAAAGTTTATGGAGGGAGCAGTTAGAAGCTGAGCAGGATAAGCTGGAGATTGTTATAAACCCGCCGAAGTCCCTCCGGCCACCGGGAAGGCCGCGGAAGAAGAGGGTTCGCGCTGAGGACCGTGGTCGTGTGAAACGAGTTGTGCATTGCAGCAGGTGCAATCAAACTGGCCATTTTAGAACAACTTGCGCTGCGCCTATATGATGAAGTTGGAATTTTTCAAAACAGTCCTGATATTTTTTGTATTTTTATTGCATGAGGGGGCTTCCTTCTTCACTTGATGCTAGAGGTATGTGTTTGAACTTGTAGGGACCATTCTGTCATTTTGATTTTAGAGGTTTGTCACTGCAACTTCAGCTTCATATCAAATATAATTGGGGATATTTGCATATGTAGCATGTAACTCTTATGCATTTACATATCTCACGTGTAAACTTTCATATTTATGGTAATAGTGGGATGGAAATGTGGGTTTAACTTTTAAAATGTGGTAATAAATTAGTGTTTTGTGTGTAAATATGAAAGTTTGGGTGTGAGATATGTAAATACATGAGAATTGTGTGTTATGTAATTGTGTGTTAGAGAATTGTGTGTTATGTATGTATTATTGTAGAGTTTGATTTTATCTTTTTTTGAGTGTATGAAACTTGGTTTTGGACTGATTTTTTTTCTTACTTAATTTGATAAGCTGCTATAATGTTATTAGGCATGGTTGGATTTGGTTAGCATTGATTGAGCTGTTATTAGGTGCATTTGGGTTTTTTCTTGAATTTTTCATTGAGGTACCATTTATTTCTTCATTTTACTTAAATTGCTCAAATTCATTATATCAATATTAGCATTTTTTTAATAGCTTGTGGAATTTAGAGGTGTCTATCCAGCTCTATGTTTGTGAACATTTTTTTATTAAACTCCTTATTGATCTCATATTTTGCGCTTTCGTTGAGCAATAAGTCGAACTTGAACTAGATATTTACCTTGATAATTTTGTGAAAATGATGCAAAATATGATAGTGTATTGAGTGTATATAATCTTTAAGGGCCCGTATGGGGCAGCTTATAGGCGCGGGTGGTGTTTTGAAAACGCCACCGCGTTGTTTGTTTCGTGCGTTCGGGGCGCTTAGTGAAAAATATTGTTCCAATTTCTTTAATAGATGCGGGTGCGGGATCAACCAAGCGGCCCGCGTCTTGAATCCTCATCGATTTATTTCATCCCGTGCCCGTCTGTCCGTCTCCTCCCTCACTCGCTTGATGCTCTGGGTAGATCGATTGCTCTTGCACAATGAACAGAGATGGCAGCCATAGCTCGCACATTTGCATTGACTGCTTTCAGCCCTCTGAAGCCATTAACGGAAGCCCCGAAGCTCTCAGCTTTCTCTTCTTCTTCTCAATCTTTTATGGACCAAAACTCACTCACGTGCGCTTAATGGCGGTTTTAGTACTTCTTCTATCTCAACTTTGGATCAAAAAGATGAGAACTTTGGGCTTTTGTAATGTTACAGGTATCTCAAATCTTCGTTTTTTAGCTGGTTGTGGGGAATAAATAGGGTTCTAATGGCGATTTTTGTCACATTTTTTCTGCCTTTTCTGCATTAAGTGATTGCTTTGTAAAAAGAGTTATTGTTATTTGCTTGAAAAGATTGGAAGTTCATGTGGGATGTAATGTGTAATGCTGTGTTGTATTCAACTTTACATGTTCTGTTCTGTTTTCACTCCTTGGTATAGGTTGTGCAATAGCAGTTTCTCATTTCATTATGGAATTTTTTTAAAAAAAAAAAATCTGAAGTCTGTTGCTTTGCATCACTTATTTTGTTCTTGTTTTTGTTTTTTTTTTCTAAATTAAGATTTCAGCATAGATTTATAGTTTGCACTTTGCAAAGGAGTTGGCATAAAAAGGCAAATTCTTTCGTTTGGATGATCCAAAGTATTACATACCACCAATTCTTATCTAGCACCTAAATTTTATTTTTTACATTTTTACCGGCCAAATCATTTATATCACTTAAAAAATATCACTATTTAACTTTTAAAAAGTGAAATACATCTATTGATTATGTTGTGGAGAGGTTGTGGCGTAAAAAATGAAGTTTTAGTACTTAGGAGGAACTGGGTGTGTCGAAGATGAGATACAAAGAGAATAATTTTGTGCGACTAATGGATTAATTTAATTATTTTTCTTTTTTTTAGTAATCTTGGTACTCTCTCTTAAGTGAGGTATATATCTTTTTTTTTTTTTTTGTACTGTTAAGAAGTGGTTATTTGCTTCTAAAATATTTAATTTATAGTTATGACAGTTCTGTTGTAAACAACATTGTTGCACAGGAGCAGAATGATCATTTCTCCAGAAACAACTGCAAATCAGTTGTTCTCCAAGCGCACAAATCGAACAGATAGTCAGTTTATTCGGATCGGCTATTGATCAGCATTTTATCTGGATCATCTGTTTATCAACAGATAATCAATAATCTGCAGCTGCCCCAAACGAACCCTAAATGTTGTGCTTGTTTGTTGAAGCTTTAAAATGGATTTTCTTTCTTTCTTTTGATTGATATATTGGCCTTTGCTTGGTTATATTTGCAAACAAATCAAACAAAAATGAGTCAAACACAAACAAGAAATATTGCAGCTTATTTACATTTTGTGATGATTACTTACTGACCAGCCGAAACATTGAGATTTATAAATGAACTACCCAGGTGATTTTTTTGAACTACCGAACCGATATATTTATGCGTGTCATGATCAAACTACTGAGAATTTGATAACAATGAAAACTATGGGTTGGGGTTTTGCCATGTATGTTGATATTTGATTGAGAATTTCAAAAATGAATGAAAGAGGGCGGTTGTTTTGTAAATAGCAAGTTTCAGGTTGTCTGTTATGTAATTGCCCCTTACATTTGTACTCCCTCAATGAAATCTTGATAGAACCCAAACAAAACTGTTGCAATATTTGGTTCAAAATGAGTGCCTTTGCACTAATCTTATGCAGACTATGTTGAGCATGCTCTTTCATTGTTGTGTTCTTCTATATGAGAAAACTGGAAGCCTATATACATTGTTTCAACTCCTTACCCTTTCAATTTCCTTGAAGGCATTTTTACATACATACCACACAATTCATATGTATTTACGAATCTAACATATAAACATTCTTATTTACATTCATATAACCCCAATCTTTGACATCACATAAAAAATATCATCATCATTATCTTCTTAAAAGTAAATACCTCTTTTCATGCATAGGTTTATGGCACTAATGTGTTATGAGCGTCGATATCAGACTTTGGGTGTTAGATATGTAAATACATAAGAAGTATGTGGCATGAATGTAAATTTTTCATTTCCTTTTTGTTCTTAATGGCTTGTTTGTTTGGTTTGGCTTATCCTCTAGGAGAAAATGCTCTATAAATTTACATGCATGCCATGCAACTCTCATATATTTGCATATCTAACCTCTAAATTTTCATATTTATAACGCTTCAGTATCATGAACTTTTACATGAAGAAATATATTTCACTTTTAAAAATTGTAGTTGTGGTATTTTTCATGTGATGTTAAAGATTCGAGTGTTACGTATGAAAATATGAAAATTTAAGTGTTAGATATGTAAATACATAGGAATTGTATGGTATGTATGTAAATGTGCTTTTTATGTGTTGGTAACTGACAAAACAGTCTTCATTTAATGTTCCTGGCACTTTTATTGGTATTATATGGATGTTTGTTGATACAAAGATTTGCACACATATCACTCAATTCCTATATATTTACATATATAACACCTAAGCTTCAAAGAATTGGGTGGTATAAATGTAAAAAAGTTAAGTTTTTGCATTATATATGTAAATACTTTGCTTGTATGTAAATGAGCCTTGTTAATATGTTAATATGTTTCATTGCTGTTTACATTCAAGTAAAACATCTTTATCAGTATACGACAAACATTTGAGAATTTGTCATAGGATATCTAAATCTTGTGGGAAGATTTACATACATGCCACACAATTTCTATGCAGGGGTGTAAACGAGCCGAACACGAGCTGAGCCTGGGCTTGCTCGTGTTCGCTTCGTTTATATTTCGAGCTCAAAAAGTGTGTTTGTGTTCAGCTCGTTTGCTTAACGAGCCAAACACGAGTTGTTCAAACACGAAAACACGAGTTGTTCACGAACAAAGAGTCGTTTTGACAACCCTAATCACATAGTCATAAGATGTTAAGAGTTTGGGGTAATATTTCAAAATTACTGTTTAAATTAAAACATCATTTGAATCTAATTTAATAATTTTAATTCTATTTTCTTAATTAATACTTTTAATTGATTATAAATCTTTGTATCCTTGTAATCAACTAAATTTATATATATATAGAGTTGATGAGCAGTTTTTCGAGTCAAAACGAGTCGAACACAAAATAACAAATATTTGTTCATGTTCAGCTTATTAACTTAGCGAACGGGCTGAACACGAGTTGTTCACGAACAACGGACAGTTTTGACAACCCTATTTCTATGTATTTACATATCTAACACTTACTTTGATGTTTACATTAAGACCACTTTATCTTTGCATGAAAAAGTTATATTTCACTGTTAGAAGGTTAGTGATAGTTATGTGATATGAAAGATTTGAGTGAGATAAATGTAAAAAATCGAAAGTATAGGGTTAGATATGCAAATTCATAAGAATTTTGTGGTGTATAAATGCCCTAATTGGTAGGGTTGATCCTAGGGACAAAAAGACTTGCACTTGGTAGGGTTGATCGCAAAACATGTTTTCTATTTTCTGTGATCTTAAAAATTGAACAAGACCAAATAGCTCGTCTGGTTCAATCATGAATCGATTATCTGGCGGGTTCGATGGATTCAATTGTTAATCGATTCTCAAGCCGGTTTCAAGCAAGTCCAAAACAATCGACACATAATTGACGATTAAATTGGTGAATCATACTCATTTCTTAAGAACCGATTAGTTCTAATATTGATCATCGTCTAATTTTATTCATTTTATTTAGATAGCTCGAAGTAGAATTTCTAAATTGAAAAGAGAAAAATAATTGAAACGTCTTGTCCTAAAATTTAGACTTAAAAATAAATTATCTTCTATTATTATTATTATTATTATTATTATTATTATTTTATTTTTTGTCGATTTCGAATTGATGGGTCAACTCAAACCCGATCTAAAGAACTACATGGTCTAGTATACTAACCATAACTCGATATGAAACTTATTCAGGTCAATTGAAATCAAAATTTTTTGAGTTGATTTCGGGTTAAATTGTTTAGGGTTTTGGGTGTGAGCTGTAATTCATTAGATCGAGAAAAGAAAGTTAATCTCTTCCATCATAAATTTTTTAGTGAAAGAATAAATTCCTCAATAAATTGATATGAAATATCATAATAATAATAATAATAATAATAAATGTGGATGGAATTTTATTTTATTTTCTTTTGCCTTTTGATAATCTTCATTCTTAAAGATTTTCTATTACTCTTGACCTTCATAATAAACCATAAAAATCTTGATTTTATTTCACAAATATATATACCACCCCTAAAGTTTGAAAACCTTATGGCTTCAAAATGAGCTCTTAAACTTAGGAACAAAGTGAGGTTCTAAAGTGGATTCATTATGGTGTTTTCAATATTACTTGTCATTAGCATCTAATAGCTTTAAAAACATACTAAACCTTTTAACTTAACATTGTTTCAATTGAATTGAGCCTCTCAAATCCAACTAAAAGAAGTTTGGGTATGATCATGCATAAGGAAGTTAAATTAAAATTGCCAACTAATAGATGTAAAAAATTGAGTTATTGCTAATTTGAAGTGAGGACATAAAGTTGCTAAGGAATTATCTTGAATTCATTTATGCTTTCTAAATTTGACATGTTCATCATGTTAAATATTCCAAGAAATTTGAAAGGTGGAGAGGAGGGAAGCCTTCTCTCACTTTAATGTAATGAGAGCACAAGTGTCATTTTGTAGCCATAAATTCATGGGAGAAGAGTTCTTCATATATTTTCTATTGATAATAGAACTAACAAGAGGCTTATCATCCACTTGAATAGATTTTAGATCCATAGTAATGAAATATTTTTGATCCACTTAATCTTATCAATAGTTGGGTTCAAAATTCTTTGTGCCCAATTTTAGAGCAATCATATAGACCCAAATATTTAAAATAAAAAGATAAATTTAAACAACCCATAGCTTCAACAACAAATAAACCTTAATATTTGCATCTATCAAGCTATCAAGATAAATAAAAGAAGAATCTGAATATATATATATATATAATATATATAAGACTTATGACATGTCTAAAGAAGCAAAATATTTTGAAGGGTTATTCCTTTAAAATTAGAAACACCACAAAATAAAAGAGAATCATATGTGAATTGCATGATATCATTGAATTGCAATCACAAAAGGATTACACAATAGAAAGGGGAACAAGTTTACATATAGAAGTTTATTTTGGTAGAAGGAATGAGTTAAAATAATAAAACTTATACTTCATCCACAAGTAGAGAAAAGTTTGTTTAGATTGGACTTACAATGTCCCAAAAATATTCAACCCTTGACATGGATGAGGAGGCAAGACTTACAACATGATACTAAGGGACACCATCCTACGCTTAATGTAAATGATAGGGTTATGTGGAACTATTTTTCTTATATGTCAGGAAACTGCTCATTTAAGGAATTATAGCTTAAATCGTTAGGTTAGGAAGCTTAATGACAAATCGTATATCTGATTGATTACTAATGCTTCTACCTCAACCCATATAAATTTTGAAGTCATGTTGTTAAATCTTAATGTCATGCAAATAAACTGCTAATAAGAAAAAAATAGATATAAAATTTTTAATCATATATGCGAGATATCCTAACAAGCATATAAGGATCCTCATACAATTGATAAGCCTAATCTATATGTAGGCACATCTCAAATTTACAACATGATTATGTGTTGACATAGATTTATTGACTTCTTTGATACTTGTAGTCCAATGTGCAAAGCCTATGCTATGATACTATGCCTAACACATGGCCTTTGATGCTTCATCTACTATTTTGGGATATAAATTCAATGAACATTTATTTTATAATTTCATAAAAAATAATTTAAGAAATTTAAAAAGGCTTTGTTTTCTTTTTGAACTTTGGTAAAATATTTACCTTATGAGCCTACATCAATGTCAAAATCATCATAGACAATCACACCCATGAAAATAATAGCTCTTTTTATTACCATAAAGCAACAAAATAGAACATGGACTAAAGTAAAAGGAGTAACCAATAAATATCACAAAAACTCACCCACATAAACCTTTGACCTATAACTAGCTTTATTCATAGCACATTGTAGCTACTCATAGAAACACATTAAATAAATTGGGCCCAAGTTATACAAGCAATGGTAGGTTGGATTTATTGTCGTCTTATTTCATGACATAGCTGGAGCAATGTGGACAATAAGTTGCTTAACATGAAAGCACACTTGAGATCCTAATTAAAGACTCTGGGGTGGTTGTTCAACAGCTAAAGAAACAACTTTGTTGATTATGTGGAGTCTGAGAGGTGGTGTGTCTGGTTGTTAACATTGCAAAGTAATCCAAAAGACATAAGATCCTATGGCAGCTTTGAAGAGCCATCTTGGCAGTTCAATATTTGATCATTTTCATGCCTAAGAGGTTTAAAAGATTTTATTGATGAGTGGATAGATGATGATAAGATCATTAGGGGTATTTTATGGTACCTGTTGATAGGGTTTCCCAACTACCTTCATTTGGTCAACAAGGCTCTCTCTCTCAAATAGGGTTCAAGAGCGCCTATAGAGAAAACTAAGGGTTGTTAGTTGGCTCTCCCTATTGTTGTCGGATGTCAAGTAGAGAGTGGTCTCTAATTGGAGGGCTAGGTGAGGGCTCAAAAAAGGTCAACAAGATAGTCTCAGAGAGGAAAGAAGGGAGAGATAGGGTGGCTTAACATGCAACGTCAATTTAGAGGATTCCCAAGGGCTAAAGTTTCCATTTTTATAAACTCTTGATAAGAGTAACATAGTTGTGAAAATAGGGAATAGGAAGATGGAGTCATCAAGGGGAAAATGAGCCAAAAAGCATAAGAGTCATAGGAATTAGAATAGCCAACCAAAAGAACAAGAATGTTTTGCAAGAAATGATTTTGCCTCTTTGAAAGGCAACAAAAGGTGCCTTTGATGGAGTTTGGGATGATCTTACTTCCAAAGAATTTTACTATGTTGGTGAAAACAGGTGATCTAAGGATATAGTAAGAGAATTTGTGTCAATCATATCCTATTTCAACATCTTACACTCTATGTCACATTGGCATTTGACATTTGACATCTTACAGATAGCGATTAAGCAGAAACTTCAACGATTGACAGAGGAATAATTTAAGGCAAGTTCCAAGACCAAAAACTACTTTGTGTAGGGGAAGGTGATCGAAATAAGTTCTTCAGAGGAATAATTTCTCATAATAAAATGATGTTGAATAAAAGCTGACCAAAAGAGATCGCCAAAAAGTATCTCTTCTTGAGAAAAGCTGTCTAGAGAGGAGAGGGGACAGTACTATTTGCCAATAAGTCTTTTAGAAGGGCGAGCTATTAAGACTTTGAGGAGCAAATTCTCAAGACAAATTGCTTAAAAGGGCAAGTTGCTAGGGATGGAAAGCGTCGACCAAGGTTTGCTTAAAATAGGTCATTAACAGGACTTGATTGCCAAGAACATGGCTTTATCTCAAAACTATGAAAATCAAATTATCTATCAGCTAAAAGTAAAGCTGTTATTTCTCTTGCTACAACAGTTTCTAGTTGAACATGTTTATATATCAAGAAAAAAGTAAAGAAAATATAATATATTTCCATTCTATCAAACAATGTGAAAATATCCATAAGGAGATGAAGAAAAGATGCTTTCCACATAAATTCAGCAAGGAAGAAGTTTACTTTATTCAAAATCATATCCCTAATTTATTTTTAAATGAATTCAATTCAAGAAAAAAAGCTATCCAAACTATCATGAAAATGCATAACATCAATCTTGCAGATAAGCCTTTAGATTTGATTCATTCTATAATTTGATCCCATAGTTTCTTGGGAAATTTCCATACATACTACCCAATTCTCATGATGTTACATATAAATCTTAATTGTCATAAACTTGTGCATGAAAATGTGTATTTCACTTTTAAAATGATAGTGATGATTGTATTTTTTACGTGCCCCCAGTTTCTTTACCGTCCTCTCATTTTCTTCAATAACTCTGCAACACTGTAGCAAACATCTATACATATAAAGATCAAAAGCTCATGGAATTCATGTACTATATCATTTAATGCTCAACAGCCAAATCATCTCAAAAAGTGCATGTCAAAACGAATTCAAAGGTTCTCAACAATCTTTCATGACAACATTATGCAAACTTTGATAAATTATTATTTTTTTTTCCATGAAATATAAAAAGTATTAAGGAAAAACATAGGACTTCATACAAATTGTTCTTACAGTGCTTGGGGAGCCAGCTCCAGGCATCAAGCACTACTGTAGCATCAGATTGTGCTTTTTAGTTTGAACCTTCAGCTTTGGAAGTTTACAGACTTAATTATAAGATCTGCCTTATGCTTAGATTTTAAGATGAGTTCTGCATTTGGTCGGTCGTTATAATCAATCTGAGGTTCAGAAAATTGAATCAGGGAAAAAAAATAATAATAATAAACAACATAAGAAATGTGGAAGCCATTGGGAACTATTTCAGCCACATTAAAAGAGTTTTGGGATTAAATTGGCATTTTTATAAAAGTCAGGGGACCAGTTTGACAGTTTTCTCTTAAGAAAATGAACAAGACTACAATTAATAATCACTATCAGAATGCTCGGAAAACATGGCAGATATAGAAATCATTTAAAATCCAGCATAAAAATAAATTTTGATATGCACAAAATTAATCAATTGAGAAAGCATTTCACAAATAAAATTATGATATTGTGGAAAGAACTATTATGAAAATTCATCAGATGATGAGGAAGATTTTTTGGTGGAGAAATGCTACCTTTGGGTGAAGTTAATACTTCGATTGGGAATAAAAAAAATGGAAATGATATTTTGATCAATTATCAAGTTTGGTATTTGAAAAGATATTGTCTAGACAAGTAAAATCAGCAAATGTATAATGTAGTAGATTTATCAAAAAGAGTAATTTAATCAACTTCGAAGACAATGCACAAAAAAAGAGGTAGACGAAATAGTTATTACAAATGTGAAAAGTTAGGATAGATAATGGAGGGGGAAAATGGTAATTTTTCATAGAATCATATGACTAGAGAAATTTCAAGTGATTGGAGGGGGAAAATGGTAATTTTTTTAGAACAAATGAGATTTTAATAATAAAGGGAAAACAGAAAACATCACAGGAGAGCAAGAGGATCAATTTGATTTTATGCACAAAAATTGAAAATAAGGGAGTTTTTGTACCAAAGAATTTATGAAAATGTTAGATTAACAATGAGATCTTTCAATTATTTATTGACTTTGAATAGGCCTATAAATAACAACATCATCACAGACTTAGACATTAATAAAATTATTTTTAGAAGTAATTCAAGATCCTAAGATTTGAGATGTTCATGAAGAAGCTAATACTATATAAGATAAAATAACAAACACGATTAAGCACGTTGCAAAAGATAAGTTTGGAGAATTAAAAGTAAAAATTCTTATAAATAAAAATAGTTGGTTGTGGAATAATATTTGTACAAAAACAAATAAAAAATAAAAAGTTTTATTATAAAAAATCGATTAGAAGTAAAAGCTTTGAGAATTAAGAAAAATATAAGGCGGCCTATAAGGAGTCTAAGAGATCTATTTGTGATGAATCATGATTTTAATGATCTTTATAATACATTAAATACTAAACGGGATGAAAGATAGATGTTTTTCATAGATGAGGATATTCAATGAGATAAAAAACAAAGATTTAGTTCAAATAAAATGCATTAAATAACAAAATCAAAAAATATTTTTCATAGATGAGGATATTCAAAATAGGTGGGTGAGATATTTTGATAAACTTTTCAATGAAATTGTGAAAATACGATCAAATTTAGTAATTTTAATATCATAATAAATAACAAAGTTACTTTTTTTATACCAACGAATTACTAAAACAAAAGTTGATGGGGCTATACAGAAATGAAGTATAAAAAAGTAATAGACCCGATGATACTCCAATAGAAGTGTGAAAATATGTAGGAGATAAAAATTTCTTGGCTTACTAACTTTTTTAATATTGTTTTAAAAACTAAAAAAAATATCTAATAAGTGAGGAAAGTCTATTGTTCCCTATTTTTAAGAAAAAAAAAGGAATGCAAAAGAGTGTTCAAATTATAGAAAAATTAAATTTGAGTCACACAATAAATTATGTGGGAGAGTACTTGAACATAAGTTACAGTATGATACAAAAATTGCTCAAAATCTATTTGAATTCATGCCGGTCAAGTCTACTAAGGAAGTTATGCATTTATTGAAATGTTTGATGAAGAAGTACAAAGAGAGTAAAGAGAATTTATATATGATTTTTGTTTAATTAGAAAAAACTTAAGATAAAGTTTTAGGAGAAGTACTTTGGAAACTTCTAGAAAAAAAAATTTGATATTGCTTATATTGAAGTCATTAAATATATGTATACTAGGACTAAGTATTTTCCTATTTTAGTTGGACTATATCAAGGATCAGCTTTAGTTATGGATACTAGGACCAAGTACTTTTCTTTTTTGCTTTAGTTATGGATATTCTTATTGGACATTTATAGGAGGATTTACCTTGATGTATGCTTTTCACCGAAGATATCTTTCCTGTGGATAAGGCCTGAGAGAGTTCGAGAAGAACTTAAAATATGAAGGTCAACTTTAGATTCTAAAGGCATTCGTTTGAGTAGATCCAAAATTAAATAAATGAAATGTAATTTTAGTAGTAGCAGATCTATTGGAAAGGCTGTAACACTGGTTGATCAAGTCATTAAAATGAGTGAACGTTTTAGATATATCGGGTCTGGTATTCAAAATGATTGTGATATAGATGGGAATGTTATTAGTAGAAGTCAAGTTGGATGGTTGAAGTAGAGAAATGCATCGGGCTATGGTTCGATAGAAAAGTACCGCCTAGACTAGAAGGAAACTTGAATAAGATCGTGGTGAAATTGGTTTTATGACACAAAATGTTGACCTGTAAAAGAGAAGCATAATACTAAGTAAAGTGTTGTTAAGATGAGAATGCTAAGGTGGATGAGTGGCTTCACACTTAGAGCCAAAATGTGAAATGAATATATTTGTGGAAGGTTGGAGTAGCTCCAATCACAGACAAGAGAGTCTCCTTAGATGGTTTTGGTCATATTAAACATCGACCATTAGATGACCCTATTAGGAGAGTAGAAATTTTAGATTTTACATGTGTTAAGAAAGATAGAGGTAGACCTAAAAAGACTTAGGCATGTTGCATACAAAATTATTTTAATTTATTAGAATTAAATGGAAAAATGACACTTGATAGGACTCAATGGACAAAAATGATTCATGAAGTTGAGCCCATTTAATTGGATAAAGGCTTCTTGTTGTTGTTGTGAATAGGCATATGATAAAGATGCTTATAAAAAATGACCAAGGTGTGATAATTGATTTTGCGCTATAAACAAATGAAACAAATTAATAGTTAGACCTCTCTTGAACTAAGCGCTATGCCAGAATAAGTTGCACATTTAGAAGCTAAGGAGACTAAAATTTAGAAGAACGGTCAAGTACATGATATGAAATTTAGTGAATTGAAGATTGACAACTGATATCTAGCTATCACAAATTTAAGTACCTTGGATAAATTACAATAATGTGGACATAGATGGAGAATAATGTATAGAGTAAAAGTTTAAAAATAAAATTGAGTCACCTCTCAGGATGACTATGCAATATGGATAACATGACATAGAGTTGAAGGTAGATTTTATAAAGTTGTAATAAGACAAATTATTTTATATGAATTGAAGTATTAGTCAAAAATTAAGTCATTGGCAACCATAAGATAGAAATAATAACATTGAGATCCATATGTCATAGAAACAGGAAGAATAGAATGAAGAATATAATATTAGAAAGACTATAAAAATAGAACTTATTGAATAGAAGATAAAATAAAATAGATGCAAGTGGTTTTAACATGCAAAATAAAGAGCTAAAAGCACACCAAAAAATGAGTAGATAAAAAAATATGAAACAAATTAAAAGTTAAACAAGTAGAAGAAAGATAGCTAGAATTTGATTAATGTCAATATAAATGTGTTGTTCACAATTAAGTACACTCAATGAAATATTGAAATGTAATGAACTCAATTTTAATTATGTTCACAAGTTCCAAGTCTTAAATTACCAAACTGAAGAATAGTTAAGAAAGGAAAAAAAAAAAAAAAATCATCCCCTCCATTTTGCTACATCAGGCTCCTTTCCTGCCAATGTTATCAGAACAATTAGTTCAGAGCCAAACTTAGCTATCATAACCAATGGGATGATATTTTCAGTACATTACCTGTTGCAATATGTCTTTTCAGAACTCTTTGCATAGAAGCATCAAGATTAATGTCAATAAACCTGCAAACATTTAAGCAGATATGCTCAATACCTTCACAGAGTGCATTAAGAAAAATCATTATTTATAAGGGCATTTACATAAATACCACTCAATTCCTATGTATTTACATATCTAACACCTAAACTTTACCTTTTTACATTTACACAATGCCACATCAAAAATACCACCTTTTCAACTATTACAATGTAAAAAACACCTTTTCATGCATTGAAAGGTGGTACATATCTAAAAATTGAAGTTTAGGTTCTAGATATGTAAATACATTGGAATTGAGTGATATGTATGTAAATCTGGAATTGAGTGATATGTATATGTATGTAAATCTTCCTGTATATAAAAGATGTCAAATAAAAATACCATTTTTCATCAAATATGGAGCATACATCCTTCCAGACCCCTTCATCTAGAAATAAATAATTTCCTTCTACAATCACTATTTTATGCCTGTCACAGATGGGGAAGAATCACAACAAAAAATGTAAATGATTCAGTACAAAATAATTTATCTTCCTCCAAAAACTAAAACATGGACCATAATTTCTGCACATAAAGACCAAAATATTTGTACTGCAGCATGGAGTTCAATCTTCACCCTTGCCAATATAACTAGTTAGAACTTATATGAAAATGACAACTAACCCTCTGACAAAATATTAAATTGCAAAGTAAGTCCATTTGATTTCACTCCTACCTTCTACATTCAGCATAAGTTGCAAAAAATAACTTCTCAAACTATGGTACCAAACATGACATCTAGATATTAAAATTGGTAATTGCATCAACCTCAACTATTTATAATATTTGATTCTTATCTTCCTTCATTGTATTTAAATCTTAATCAATGTATATTACATAATACATTTAGTACATAGATCTACAATCTTAAGCAAAACGCTCGATGAATCAACGTGCCGTAACACTAATGTATCGAGTGGAAAAAATGAGAATTTTATTCAATCATTCAATAAATGCCACATGATCCTATTTATAATGCAAAATCCTCCAAAGATGTGGCCTAAACTGTAAATTCCGAAAAAAAACAAACTACAGTTACTGCTACAGTAATAACAAAGAATAGGTAGTCTAGAAGACCGGAAGCGGCTAGAGTAAAAAATGGAAGATTTACTTGCATATCGTTCAATTCTTATGTATTTACATGTCGAAAATCTAAACTTCAATTTTTACATATATTCCATCTTACCAATGCTTGATAACATGTATTTCACTTTTTATAAGTTAAAATAATGACATTTTTTATGTAATATGAAATATTTGCATGGTTTAAATGTAAAAAAGTAAGGTTAGGTGTTAGATATGTTAGTACCTAAGAATTGGGAGGTAAAATAAGAAATTTATAACTTGAATTGAAGCAATTGCAATGGAAACCCAAAATTATCAAGATAATCAAAATACTCAAGAATATATTCAATTCTCATAGACACCGTTATCAAAAACATGTTACATCTAAAATGAATAACAAAAACATATGAGAAAATATGAACATTAAAAAAAATGAACACATATGATTTGTGTTTTCAGTGACTAAAGTCTTCTAGATTTGCACCATTTTTTCCAAACTTCGAAAAACTTGGCTGCAAAATAGTAATTATTTGATAATTGTCATCTAAATCTGGATAAAATGTTAGTGATTACAGCAATGTAATCCATGAATCTTTCACAAATAAGTTTTAATCCCAAAGAATATCATTAGTAGATCTTTCCGGCAAAATATTGAATATGAATTTGCAGGAAGGAGATAGAAAAATTCATGGTATAGATGGCAGAATCATAAAGTCATAATGGTATACTGCACCAAATAAACATCGTGTGCCTTGTTATAAATCAAAATATCATTAAAGTAAAGAACCAAAATAAATAAATTAATTAATTAGGTCACAAGCTAATGATCCTTATCCTCATAAAAGCATTAGATCAAAAGGCATCACCAACCATTCATATAATTCATCTTTAATTTCAACACTAATTTTCCATTAATCACTTAGCCTATTTCTAATCTAGTGATAGTCACTTCTCAAACAAATCAAAGAAATATCACAACACCACTCATCTAAGAGCCATTAAAACATCCAACATATGAAAAACAAAATCCAAGAAAAAAACAAATCACCACCACTTAAAAAACTAAAGCCACAAAAACAGATAATGCCAAATGAATTTGACAATGCAATTGACCATAGATAGCAGCTAAAAATTGGAAGGGCGACGACAGAAGGCGGTTGGTAGCAGACAGCCAGTGGGTAGCCATAGAAGTGGGGAGGTCGGCAGTGGCCGGCGGCGGCATGCAATACTTTACACGAAATGTTGTATTTAAAATTCGCCCAAATCCAATGAACTTCAAATACACTAAGAATGAACTAGAGAATGAATTCCAAAAGCATTATAATTTTAAACTACATTCGGAATTCCTATGACAAAACAATCAAATCTTTTAAACACATGCAAAAAGAATGCAATGCACTCCTTTTACAACAAACCAAACAACCCTAGTAATTCCCCTTCCTGATTTAATTTAAAAGAGAATTACTTCAAATATTGGACAACTTTGACACAAAATATATCAATCGACTTACAAAGGACCAATGTAGATGTCATTTTCCACTGGATCACCGACACCGTGATCGAATGAAGGAGCATACACCCATCCCTGATAAATTTATACATAACATCAATATCATTAAAGGGCAAGGAATCAAACCATCATTCCAATCTACTAAAAGACAGTAACTTTCAGCAATTCAAATATAATGTTAGATGCTAATAATTTACTGTACTTCAAATTTATTCTGCAAAAACAAGCAGCAAATTGTAAATACAAAACTTGAAAATCAAAGATGCAGACCTGACTCCTCAAAGAGCAAAGGCATTTCAAGAGAAGATCTGGATTAAATGTCCAGGGTGCTGATTCATCCAATTATAGCATGATAAGTGCTTGGCCCGTTTACTTAAAACCCCCTAAGTCAAGATTATTGTCTACTAACCTCCTCTTCTTGCATGAGCTTCCTCTGGGTCCTATAAATTAGAAACATTACTAAATATATGGAAAAGCAGGGTTGTAACTGAACCAAATCAACTCGTGAGCTAGCTCGGGCTCGGCTCGATAAGTGGCTCGTGAGCTGGGCTAACAAGCCAAGCTCAAGCCAGCCCCAACCTGATTAATTAGATTGTGAGTTGACTCGTTTAAAATATAATTAATATAAAATATACTCAAACTATATTAAATTTCAATATTTTATCTTTAAATTATTAAAAATGTAAAAGAAAATGATATTTTACATTTTATATCAAGTGAAGGAGAGGTAACCTCCATAGCATCCAGTTGAGATCTATAAAGATGGAATCCATCCATTGGAAGAACAACAGCTATTGCATCTTTATTGTATGAAATGAAGTTCAGGCGCTGAACAACTTCGGCAGCTAAAGTGCTCTTACCAGCACCAGGAGGGCCAGCCAAACCAACGATGTACCTGAAGGATGATCAAGGAGAAAATAAGGAGGTGCATTTACATACATACCACACAATTCCCAAGTATTTACATATCTAAAAGCTTAATTTTATGTGAAAAGTAAAATGAAGCTGAACTCTTAAATTTCAAGGCGTTTATTGGTGTAACGGTTAGAATTTTGACAGAAACTCAAAATTTAAGTGTGCTCATGCTGAAGCAATCCAAGATGGGTGACCTTCCGGGAAGTTACTCCAACGAGTCAAAACCGTGAGGCTATTTGGTCAAAGCGAACAATATCTTGGTTGGTGAAAGTTCATGCTGTTACAAATGATATCAGAGCATTACACCAGTCTGAAGTCAGAAATATATGTTTAATCGATGATTCTGGGCTAAAAGCCCTAACATGGACATCAGTTGCTTAGGTTGGGAAAATTGTGAAACCCTTAAAGTATAATGAAGATGAACTTTTAAACATCGATGCATCATTTGGTGTATCGGTTGGAGCTTCGACAGAAACTATAAGTTTAAGTGTGCTCGTGCTAGAACAATCCTAGGATGGGTGACCTCCTCGGAATTTACGCCGAGTCAAGACCGTGAGGCCGTTAGGCCAAAACGGACAATATCTTGATGTTTGAGAGTTCAACCTGTTACATTTTACCTTTTACATTTTAACTAAATAAATCATCCATATTACATAAAAAATATCATTATTTTGACCTGTAATAAGTGAAATACACATTTTCATGCATAGATAAGTTGGCATATATGTAAAAGTTGAAGTTTATGTGTTAGATATGTAAAAATATAGAAATTGAGCGGCATGTATGTAAGTCTTCCAAATAAATATATCATATAGACACAAGTTATGCAACTCTAAGATAAACTTAAGAATACAACAATAGAGTAACGACCTACATATCTACTAATGTGTGACATCAAAAAAATGCAAATGAGAAAACAAACATGTGCTTCATAAAAAACAAGATATTTCAATATCATGACCTGCTAAAATAATCTTTAAGTATCAGATGATTCAAAATTGTAAAAAAAAATCACAAATATGTTACAAACTATTATATTATAAGGCTATCCCTACATTATTACTTATTATTTAATTTTATTCCTACTCTTTTGTTTTATTTTGTTTTATTTTCTTTCCTATTTATTTTACTCTGTTTTATTATTTTTCATTATTATGTCTACTGTAATTGAGTTTAAATACCCCCGCTCCTACCAATGAAATTGAGCTAGTCTATTCCAAATCTCAACATAGTATCAGAACCCAAACCTAGATCTAGCAGCCCCCAACCTCCTCTGTCGGAATCTGTCCTCCATTCCTTCTCCTAATCGTGAGCTTGCTTCTTTGTCGATTTCAACGAACTATAGGAATCTGTCCAGCGAACTGTAGGAACTACTTCCCCGTCGATTCCAATGAACTTCCCGCTAGATGTTTGCAATAGTTCGCCCTCCTGATCCTGTCCACTCTTATTACCCCATAATTTATTTGTACTTGTCCTCTCTTATTCGACAGATTCTTGCAGGAGCGCACGCTCTTTCCACAGAAAAGTTTCCTGCATCTGTTTTTCGTGATTTCTGCTACCTGCAATTCCTGCAGTTGTAATTTTTTGTCGTGATTCTACAAAAATTCATCGATGGCTCAGAACCACAACAACATATCATTTGGCTCAATCGGAATGATGGTTGATTCTTTCAATGAATCAGCTTCAGAAGGCATTCTTGACTCCACCGGAGTATCAACTCTAATCTCCACTCCCTTGCAGACCAAAGGACCGAAAGCCGACATGAATTTCTTGATCACAACTCAAAAGTTGAACGACAGTAACTTCCTCTAATGGTCCCAAGCAGTGTCTTTGTTCATCAAAGGAAGATGGAAGTTTGGTCCTCGCACAGGTGTGATTCGTGAAGTTCCAAAGACTAACCCAACATATGGAGCTTGGGAAGTGGAGAACTCCATGGTCATATCCTGGCTAATTAAGTCTATGGAGACGCCAATTAGTGATCTGTACATGTTCCTCCCTTCGGCTAGTGCTTTTTGGACGATTGTCTGTGATAACTACTTAGATTTAGGAAATTTAGGCCAACTCTATGAGGTATTTAAGAAGATCCGGGAGGCAAAACAGGAGTCAACAACTGTGACCCAGTATTATAATGATCTAGTTGCATTATGGATGGAATGTTATATATATTACGATTATACTTGGAATTCTCCGGCCAACTTATCCCTCTTTCAGAAGATCATAGAAAATGATCGTATGTTTGAATCCCTTGTTGGACTTAACAAAGACCTTGATGAAGTTCGGAGCCATATTATTGGCCCATATTCACTTCCTTCCGCTCAAGCTGCTTTTACCGAGATTCATCTGAAAGAAAGCAGAAGACTTGTTATGCTTGATAGATCTACTCCTTCAGCCGAGTCGTCCTCCTTAATCTCAAATAGTGCGCAGCCTCGTCCATGCCACATGGACTGGTCACCCCACTTATGATTACTGTCACAAAGCAACCACACTCAGGACAAGTGTTAGAAGAATCCCTAAAAAATCAAATAGAGCAATTGATCAAGCTTATTGGAGCCAAGCAAGTCTCCGCGTGTTTGTCGACCTCCCACGCCCAAAAAGATACTCTTCCTATGTCTCTCACAGTTTATTCCTCCTCTAGTCCGTGGATTATTGATTTCGATGTCATGGATCACATGACTGGCTGCTTGCAAGCTTTCTCAACTTATTACCCGTGTTTTGGAAAAAACACCATCAACATTGTCAATGGGTCCTGTTGCTCCATTTATGGTAAATGGTCAGTTGTACTAATGACCAATCTAACTCTGGTATTTGTTTTACATCTTCCTCGATTGTAATGAAACTTATTACTAGTCAGCAAGTTGACAAGTGATATCGATTGCGTTGTTAATTTCTCTTCTGATGGTTGTATTCTTCAGAATCATCGTTCGGGGGGGATGATTAGAACTGCTAAGAGAGTAGTCAGACTATACTATTTCCAAAAGGACAACTAGGAGAGTGAAGACATGTCACGCAAAAGTTGTATCCTATCTCCAGTGATTGAATGTTCGATTATATTATTACATTATCGTTTAAGTCTACTAGTTTTTAATATTTGAAAATTTTGTATTCTCTGATATTTTCTATTAAAAGTCTCGCTAACTTCAATTATGAGACATGTCAGTTAGCCAAACATCACCAGGTCCATTACCCACCTCACAGTTACTCATTTCTCCCTCATTCATAGTTAGGAGTGTAAACGAGTTGAACACGAGCGAGCCCGAACTTAGCTCGTGTTCGACTCATCAAAAAATACACTTGTTCGTGTTCAGCTCGTTTATATTTCGAACACAAAAAACTTGTTTGTGTTCACTTGTTTCCTTAGCGAGTCTAACACGAGCTATTCGCAACAAAGAGCCGTTTTGATAACCCTAGTCACACAAATAATGTTAAAGGCGAAAACGAGTTCAAGCTCGACTTGTTAAAAATATCATTGTTTGTGTTTGACTCTTTATATATCGAGCTCAAAAAATTTATTTGTATTTAGCTTGTTTATCGAGTCGAACATGAGTTGTTCATGAAAAATAAGTCATTTTGACAACCCTAGTCACACGGCTATAGGATGTTAAGGAAATGGCTAGATTCAAATCTTATTATATTAAATTATTCATTTAAATAGAATTTAATATATTTTTATTCTATTTTTAATTAGTAATTTTAATTTATTACAAATCTTTGTAGTCTTGCAGTCAAATTATTTAAAAATAATACTCATTATACACACACACACACACACACACACACACACATATAT